GGAATGATGTTATAGAAGCATGAGATGTAATAAGATATTTATTATTTATTTAATAAAAAAGTTTATTCATCATTTTATGTGTATATATTTGTGAATATTTTACGAATGTCAAATGAAAATTCCATGATCATATATGTTACCTAATTAAACATTGTATATAAGTGTTATATGCGAGAGGATAATGTTTAAGGATAATAATAAAAAATGATATTGGTAATGAATTTAATTAAAGTTTGAAATCTTTAATTAAAATATTACTAATGCATGTCATTCCCATTTAGAATGGAATGGTGTTATCCGCACTGTTAATATGACGAGATATTAAATGAGTGTATTACGCATAATGAGATTATGTGGAACAGAGACATAGACACAATGTGAATTTCTGATAATTTTCGTTAAGTATAGAAATTCTAATTGAGTCTACCAATGGTCATATATAAAATGATCTTAATCCCGAGTTCTTAGCAGACTCCTATTTATGAATTTATGTCTTTTGATTTACTCGGTACGGATTCTGAGACCCTGAATTAGATTCCTTATATTTTGGAGACATGATGAAGTAGGTAGCTGTGAATGTTATTATACAAGATGGAATCTATTCCTTCTTGAGAAAGAAGCAGATAAATAATTCTCTTGAGTGTTGATTCGATACTTTGATTAGTTAGAGCGCTTTGGTTCATGAATGTGTTTTATGAATCACTGTCCATTAGAGAATCAATGGTACTCAAAGATGAAGATATAATTAGAGAGGTTAACGGATTTTACCTAGCTCTAATTATGAATTATTTATGGATGATTGATTTATATGCAGTGACTATATCAAATGGACACTTCACAGTTTAGAAGTAATTTATATCTACAATTTCGAGAATGCAATTCCAAGTTTATAGTGGAGTAGCTATTGAAATTAATAGAATTAATTAATTAATTAAAGTGTTTAATTAATTATTAATTGTATTAGAGCTCAGAATTATAGGTCCATTAGTTCTCGCATCGTCCTAGTAATTCTACAAGACACAAAGGGTAAAATAGAAATTTTAGAATTACTAAATTCTAAAATTAAACACTCGATGATAATTAATTGAGAATTCATTATAAATTAAATAATGTGATTATTTAAATTTGAATTTAAATTTTGGATCACTTATGTGAAGGTGTTCATGTAGTGTGAACACATCTAGATTTATCAATTTAAACTTATTTGATATGTTGTTCAATTTAAAATTCAAATTAATTTAAGTTAAATTAGAATTTAAATTTGAGTTAAATTAGACTGTATGATAAATGATGATTTTCTCTTCCTTCCCTATCTGCTTTTGGCGCCTACCACAGGGATAATGATCCATATCTTGGCCGGCCATATTAAGAGGATAAGGAGTGGGAGATTTTGTTCCAAATTCAAATAGGAAATAATTAACAAACTTTATCTTGGAGATAAAGATTGGATTCCTTTTAGGAGTTTGACTTCTACTCTAAAAATAAAAGAACTATAGAAAATTGTGAAACACTATTTTTCTCTCAAAAAATATACCTTGGCCGAAATTCTCTAAGAGTGGGAAGGAAAATTTTTTCTCCAAAAATTCCACGTCGTGCATGCGTTGGTGTTCGTGGAAATTCGAGTGTTTTTTTTGCTAATCCTATTTTGTCTCAGGTGTGCCCACACACACGTCTTCATGGATTTTAGGAATGGACGAGGAATACATTGGTTTTCTAAACTAGCTGTGGAGCAAGGAATGTTCGAGATCAAAGAATTCAAATTATCATCCTAATCGGCTACTAGGTATAATTCTCATTCGAGTTCTTATTAAATAAATTAATGTGATTAATTTATTCGTGCATAAATTAATATAATCTATAGAGTATTTCAAAATTTTTATGAAAATTTTGTTATACACGATCCGTTACTCACACGCTTCCGCATCCGAATTCAATTCGGAAAGTAACATATACAAGATTTGATGACACAGAAATGACTTGAAAGGAGCCAAATGCTAATCCCATGAAGGACCTTAAACACACAGCTCATACTAAGAGCGGTAAGGAAACCACCCTCTAGTTGAGGGAGACACCACAGATAAAGAGACGTAGAGAAACCAAACTCTAACTGGAATAACACATTGATAGATGAGAAGACTATCACCGTTATTATAATAAAGACATAAAAAAACTATACATAAATTCACAACCCACGCATGAAAGACTTGGTTGAGCACCACAAGCAAGCAACTTCTCCGAGTCCAAGCACTCTTGAAAGATCGTGTAAGACTATTAAAAATCTCCTACTTTTACGGTTTAGATCTGACGAGATGTCGCTTTCTCTAGATTCACAAAACCCATCACCTTATAAATCATATCACTGTGAAATTAAAGATGAAATTTTTGTAGCCAGAGTCCCGGCGACATGCCAAACCTCCGGCCAGAAAGTTTTGGCTGGAAGGGAATTTTTAGAGAGAAGGAGGAGGAAACGAGGTTGAGAGAGAGGGCTAATATGTTTATTGTTAGACACGCTATTTTAGAGAATTGAACAGATTTATTTTTAATTACATGCATCTTTTGGACATTTGGCTAATCTACAGCTTACTCGTTTACTGAGTTCATTTATAGTGAATAATGTTAAAAAGCCTCGGCAAAAGGCACTACGATCAAGTATTGTAATTTTCAACCTAATCAAAAGAGTTTTGCCTTTCCTGTTACTTACCTTTTCCTTTAATAAATTATTCAAGTATTAGTACGTTATGGGGGAAGTTAAAATAATAATTATAAAAAAAGCTTAAGACCGTTTATTTAGTGGCATTGAAGAGAGTTTGGGTGGGGTGGGGTTTCGGGGGTTGAGGATTTAATCTCCTGTTGTATTAAAAAATAAAAAATAAAAAAAGAATTTGTAAAAAAAGACTGTTGAAAAATGAGAAAAAAAAAAAGATTGAACGGTGTTTTTTCATTAATTGGGTCACATATGTTTGGTAGAACCGTAGAAGGGGTTTGAATCACATATGTTTGGTAGAATTTTGGGCATAACTGTAACCGCATGTGAGTTCATCAATTAAATTAGACGTTACACAATAAGAATCAGTAAATCTTATACAATTTAGCTAATTTAAAATTCCCACTGAAATGCGCATTTCAATTGTTTCATTGAAATGCACTTATATAATATATCAGGAATTTATTCAAATGGACAATGGAAATTAATAATTAGTCTCAACGTTAACAATATTATGTGATTTTAGATGTGAAATTGTACTATAATCAAGAATTTATAATAAAAATTCTTCCTGAGCTATGATGCTTGTAATAATTTACTCCTGAATTTTTAAAACATAACATACACTCTCATAAAATATGAACCGTTAATAAAAATGTCATTTCTCTCATAAATTCTAACAAAAATAACACATATTCGACAAATATTGATTGTTCTTAAAGAGATGTAAAATTACTCTTCTACCATCGCTTTTAGATTTACATTTTTTAAAACATATTTTAATTTTCATTTAATATGATAATAAATAAAATAAAATAGTAAAACGTAATTTTTAATCTTACTTTTCCTATTTTTAATAGTGTTTTTCAAAACATCAACATTCCCAAAAAAAAATGTTTACGTATACATATTACATATTATATGTAAATTAGAATTAAATTTTTTAAAGATTTAATTTTTATTAAGAATGGATAAATTACCCTGAATTATATACTATGAGTTAGTATTCTGTTAAAAACTTTAACAGAAGGAGGGTTTTTTTTTTGTTAACATAATGTCATGTTTTGAAGATTAGTAGATAAAGTGTTATACATATCATAATTCAGAGAAGATTTTTATAATTAATCATAAAATCAAATAACTTATTGATATAGGCATATGCCAAGAGCTGATAAAAATTGAATAGTTGAAAAACAAAGCACTGCATGTAAAATATTTTTTATAGTTTTTATCAAGAAATTAATTTTGTAATATGATACCAAAATAATTTATGATAGGGACACATTTTTGTCCTTAAATTTTGTTGAATTACTGTACTTGTAAGCTAACATGATAAAACTATAAGATACTGATAAAAAAAAAATTTTCCTGCCCGGGCAAAATATTCTTTTTTTCTTTTTTCAAATCCAAAAGCTTGTGAAAATGCCAACTACCTTACGCATTATAGAAAGGGTAACGTCACATTGTGGACTACCCCTTTCCTTGTTCCATGTACTAAATCAACAGTAACTTCTGAAATGTTTTCACCCTTTTCCAATTTCCAAACCCATTAGGAAAAAACGAAAAAAAAAAAAAAAAAAGACAAATCTTTTAATTATTGGGTAACTCTCGCGTTTGACCCTAAATTTTAAAAATTTTGATAACTTACCGTCTAAACTTTTAATTTTTATAATTTCTCCTTATTTACTAAATTGTTGTAATATGTTCAATTTTATTAATTGTTATGCTAAATCAGTGACCAAAAAACATGTTTGACAAAAAGAAAAAAAAATTAAAACATTTTGATTCAAATTATAACACAAGTTTCTCATTTTTCTAACTCTAAATCTCTTAAACTAGACCAAAGATTAAAGCAAAATTGATAAAATGGCCGCATTAGAATAATTTAGTAAGTTTAAAAATTTATGGTGCGTACTCATACTGTAGATCAGACCGTTAAAAATTTAATTTAAATTATCTAACAATTAAAACATAATTCTTATCGGTTGAGTAAAATAATCTTCTTCATCTTAAATGCCCCCTAAAATTAAGGGAGTAAATTGTCAAAGTTTGAAAAGATTAAGGGGAAAATTATATTATTTAATAAAAATAAGTGTTGAATTACCGATAATTGTTTTTTTTTTTTTTTGTCCACTAGAGAAACTCCAAACAAATAAACCTAAGTAAATAATTAGTGATTAAGCAGGTTCCTCAAGGGAAAAAAAAAAGGTGATTAAGCAAGCTTTTCTTCTCATTTAATAAATACAGAGAGACAACAAAACACACATGTAACACTCGTACAGTCTACTATCTCTAAAACTCCATAAGTCGAAACGTTCATTTCCAGAGTAGAGCTATAGGCCCTTTTAAAGCTCGAATTCCGAACCATTTCTATTCTATTTAACAAAAGCAAAGAAACGAAAAATAATGAACTTTGGTAAGTAGGAAAAATAACTGAGAAAAAGAGTAAAGAGAGAGAAAGAGAAAATGGAAGAAGAGCAACGGAATATTGGAAGGGCATCGAGATCTGCGCGCAAGTACAACTGGGGTTTGCTTGAAGATGAAGCTTCAATGCCGGTGAATCTTCAGTTTAGCCGTTCAGTCGAATCTTAATTTGTTTCCCGAATCCCCTTTCTCTTCTTCTTTCTTTGTTTCTTTTCTTTTTTTAGTGAAAACTCGCTGCGTAATCGCCAAGATTTTCCGTTAAAGCTTTTTGACGGATTTTCTCTCTCTAAATTAGCTCTTTTTCTTCTCCTTCACGTTTTGAGGTTCCAATTCCAGTTCCAGATCACTGCGTTCTCGCTTCCCCTCTTCGCCATTTTCAAATTTCCAGGTTTTTCTCCTCTCTCTCTGGCATTGTGAAGATTAAGTATTCTCTCTCTCTCTCTCTCTTTGTTTTTTTTTTTTTAATTTGAGTTGGTTCAGCTTAGATTTTTCTGTGTTTTCTGTTCAAGAACTTTGCTTCCTTGCTTGATTCGTTCTTGTTATGTAGAATTTCTTGGATAATTTCTGTTTTTTTTTTTTTTTGAGAATTTCTTCCCAATTGGGGTGATCAAGTAAGTTTTTTCTTTTTGGTGCTAAAATTAGGTCCAATTGTTCCACTACAATTTTCCGGAAAAATAGGCTCTTTTTTTTTATAAAAAAAAGACATTTTAAACATGAGCATTTTATTTTCTGTTGAGAACAAATTGCTCCAGTACTACGATGGTCTTTCTTCTAATAGTTGTTCTTTTTCTCTTTTTAATTTGATTTTCTGCTTGCGATTGAGATAAAAACCAACTTTATTATGAAAATTAGTTGTCTTGCAATTTTGTCTTTACATGTTTACCATTTTTTCAGCCATTGATCCCGCAAATGCAATCCAGTGTGACAAACGAGAATGTACTTGTGATGAGTTTCAACTACTTTTAAAAAGTTTTGATTTATTATTCCAGACTTCCCCAATTCATTATTTAAAAAAAAAAAAAAATTCTGCATGATTAAGGAAAAAATGTAAGAAAGTGAACAATTTATCAACCTCAGAGAAACGTCAATGCTGTGTCAAACCTCTCATAAAATGGGCTTGCTTAGCTGTTTGGATATGAAAAGTGGATATTTTTCGTACAATTGTCTAGTTGTGCATTTATTTCTTTGATGAAACGTTCTAGTCTTCTTTTTTTGTTTCTTCATTAATGGCATTTTCTTTTTTATTTCAAATTTTTGTTTCTTGGCTCATTATTGTTTGATTTATTTATCTGATGGAATGAAGTCAATGAACTAGTAAACCAGACTGCTTAAGCTCATGAAGAAAAGGGTTAAAAGAGATTCTTTCAGCATTTTGTTTTGTATGCTTTAACGCTTTTTCTTAGTGGAAAAAGAATTATGTTTTTACTTTAGTTATAGCTTATTTATTTTTAGGTTCTTTTATGGTGACTTTACTTTCAGTCTTCGAGATAACTTTTAAAATACCCTCGTGATACTTTTTTAGTCTTTGACTTATATTCTCAAAACTATTTGGTGAAATGGTAGCCGAAGCAAACATGTGGCTCTCACAACGTCAACTTTGTATATAGAGAAATTTCTGTTTCTTTTCTCTTCACTTTCTATCTGATAGGAAGACATGGAAATTGATTTTCTTGGGACAACTTGAAGAAAGTCCTCTTCTGATAAGATTCGGACCGTCTACTTCATTGTCTTTATCTATTGTTGGTCAAACATGCATATGAATTTTAGCTGCGTAAAATAACTTAACTGTACAGAGCTGAGTCCTTGGTGTCGAAGATTTCAAAAGTTTCCGTTTTCTTTTAGTTAGACCAGGCAGAAGCATGTTTCCAGAATTGTAATAACGTCTGTTTGATAGGCAGTTTGGTTGGCTCTTATTATGTTTCTTTTGAATTATAACTCCCAAAGTGGTCAAGACTCCAGAGTAATTTTCTGGTAATTATCGTTGCATTGCAGGGAAGAAGAACGCTGTGATCACAATCAGCCTTAACTATCGTCAGGGGTTTCTCAACAAACAACACTATATGAAGCCAAATTTATTTTCTGTAGTTTTACTTTTCCTTGCGCTCATTTTTGTTGACCGAACCATCGCTGACATAGATTCAGATAAAGAGGCCCTCCTTGACTTCATTTCTGCTGTCCCTCATGGCCGTAAAGTTAACTGGAATCCTGCTACCCCAGTCTGCAAAACTTGGGTTGGCATCACTTGCAACTTAAATGGCTCCAATGTGATTGCTGTCCGGCTTCCTGGTGTTGGACTCTTTGGCCCAATTCCTGCCAACACTCTTGGGAAGCTGGACGGCCTTATTAGCCTTAGTCTTCGATCCAACCGACTTAACGGGACACTTCCATCTGACATCCTATCCCTTCCTTCACTCCGAAATGTATACCTGCAAAATAACACTTTTTCAGGAAATATTCCCTCTTCTCTATCTCCCCGTCTCACCTTTTTTGATGTATCCTTCAACTCAATTAGCGGCCAGATTCCCGCTGTTTTTCAAAATCTAACCCGTCTCACTGGGCTGAACCTCCAGAACAACTCCCTCACTGGACCCATCCCTGATTTGAACCTTCCAAGACTTAGGTATTTGAACTTGAGCTACAACCACCTAAATGGTTCAATTCCTACTGCCCTAAGAACATTTCCCATCTCTTCCTTTACAGGGAACCTGATGTTATGTGGGCCACCACTTGACCAATGTGTCCCTCCGTCACCTTCTCCTTCCTCCGCTAATTTGCCACCTGAGCCAACAGCTCCTCCGAAACCAGAAAAGGGTTCCAAAAAGAAACTAAGCACTGGAGCCATTATTGCTATTTCGGTTGGGAGTTTTGCAGTGCTTTTTCTTCTAGTTCTGATCGTTGTGCTTTGCTGTATGAAGAAAAAAGACAGTGGAGGCAGTGGTGTGGCAAAGCCAAAGAGTGGAAGGAGTGAGCCGCCAAAGGAGGACTTTGGGAGTGGAGTACAAGAGGCTGAGAAGAACAAGTTGGTTTTCTTTGAAGGTTCTTCTTACAACTTTGATCTTGAGGATCTACTTAGAGCTTCAGCTGAAGTGCTGGGGAAAGGAAGTTATGGGACTACCTATAAGGCTATCTTGGAAGAGGGGACAACGGTGGTGGTTAAAAGGTTAAAAGAAGTTGTGGTCGGGAAAAAGGAATTTGACCAGCAAATGGAGAATGTGGGGAGGGTTAGTCAGAACCCAAATGTCGTGCCTCTTCGCGCATATTATTATTCCAAGGATGAGAAACTCCTTGTTTATGACTACATAACAGCCGGCAGCTTTTCTGCATTACTACATGGTATGTTATAACCAGTCATCTTGTTCTTGTGACCTTTACTTTCAGTAGGTTCTTTTTTTAAGTAATCTTTAAAAGTCATTCAGTGAAATATCTCTTTTTATTTTTATTTTTCATTTTTTGAAGTAACCAACAAAGGACGTAGAGTTGCTCAAAGGTTGTATATTGACTTTCAGATAAATGTGCTTAATTTCATTAGAACATGAAAGAAATCAGTAAATACTCGGCTCTAAAACGTGTTTGTATTCACTCCATGTCTTACACTAAGAATTCACATGTTTAACAGAGATGATTCTTCCCCTCAGAATTAATCCTATGCTTTCACATATCCTACAGGAAACAGGGAAAGTGGACGGAGTCCGCCAGATTGGGAATCCAGACTAAAAATTTCTCTTGGATGTGCAAGGGGCATCGCCCATATTCATTCCGCTGCTGGTGGAAAGTTTGTGCATGGAAACATCAAATCCTCCAATGTCCTCCTCAGCCAAGACCTCAGTGGTTGCATCTCAGATTTTGGCCTTGCTCCCCTTATGAACTTTCCCGCCATCCCTTCTAGAAGCATAGGCTACCGTGCTCCCGAGGTGATCGAAACTCGAAAATTTAGCCAGAAATCGGATGTTTATAGCTTTGGTGTTATTCTCCTTGAGATGTTGACAGGAAAAGCACCAGTTCAATCTCCAGGGCGTGATGACGTTGCTGATCTTCCGAGGTGGGTTCAGTCCGTTGTCAGGGAGGAATGGACAGCTGAGGTATTTGATGTAGAGCTAATGAAATACCAAAATATTGAAGAAGAGTTGGTGCAGATGCTTCAAATAGCAATGGCGTGTGTAGCGAAAGTGCCAGACATGAGACCAACTATGGAGGAAGTTGTCAGGATGATTGAGGAAATCCGGCCATCTGATTCCGAGAGCCGGCCGTCACCGGAGGATAATAAATCCAAGGGCCCAGAAACTGAGACCCCATGATTGCCCTTCCTAGAAATTATTATTATTATTATTATTAGATGAGATATACTTCCATAACGCATATGTGGTCAGGCTACTAGAACCAGACTGCAGAGCAAAAAGCACATGAAACCTTTTCTTACTCAGTTGAGTCCAATTGTGTGATTCGTTTTACAGTCATTTTAGAGTAACATAGCTTCATTTGTTTGGCATTCTTTTCCCCTGTCACGTCGTATTATTAGGGGGGAAAAAATAGTTTAGAACAATTGTGACTTGATTGCTCTTGTCTGTGCTGTTGATGCTTTCCAAGCAGTTGTGTAAAATTAGTGTATTCACTGTAAATGTAATGTTCAACAAGTTTCCAAGTTCTCGAGTCGTCCTTATATTTTTGTGTACAAGTCTATCGGAAAACAGGGTGAATTTTTCTCAACACAACGCAATTGCACATCAGAAACATATGAGACGATGAGACAAGTTTTTTATTTTTAAATAGTGAAGACCATATTACTTGAAAAGTGAACATAGTATGTTATGTTATTTTTATGGGATATTCTCTGATAGGTCGGCTTATTGGTAGAGTCAGTTTTTAACCGTTGAATTTGGTCAACATCACATTAAATTAAAAAAAATATGCAAAATAAATAATTTTTAATATAAATCTGATAGTTAAAAAATAAAAAATTACTAGTAATTCATTTTTCTAGTCTACCGGAGAAACTTCTTATTTTTATAGCGAAAAAAGAGTTATAAAAGATTATAGCGAAAAAAGAGTTATAAAAGAATTAGTTGTTGATATCCGTACGGATGCTCCTTTTCACGCATCAAAAGCAGCCTCCACAATCCACTGCAATATACGCATAAAACCGCGGAATCGAAACTCAAGTGGTAACGATCTCAATTTGCAGGCATAAAAATGAAAAATGCTTGTGAAACAATCTGACCCACCTTCTACTATGGGTGCGCAAGAGATGAACAATCCAAAAGCCTAACATAACAAAGGCATGAAAGCCAGAACCTCACTTGTATTTATCGAAATGTTGTATTCACCTTATCATTATAGGAAAGCAGTATTTATCTTTTGTATATTATAAAGTATACTATACCTTCTTTCATATTTTAGTCAAAATAAGATAATTTTTTAACGTTGAAAAAAGAAAAAACACTCGGGGATTGATCTGATTTCAGGAAGAACAAAGTTGACATCTCTGAATTTTATTAGCTCAGAGAAAATAAGATAAAAAGAATCAGCAGCTTAATATTTTCCACTAAGGAAAATAGCCAGAATGGATACCTGTGATCTTGACATTTTCCTTCCACAAAAAATATAACAAAATTATACTCCTCCATGCCAAGCATGTGATTAATCCCAAAAATAAACAAATGGTTAAAGCTTAGACTTGCAAAGAATTTTTGTTCACCAAGTCTGCTCCACTAACATATCTAGAAACAAAAGATATTAACCGGAACGGGGCACCAATTAGGGGAGCATCTGAGATTGGAACAGAATCCCTTTCACCATTCAAATTAACCTGCAACTCGAGATCTGGAACCTCATTCTCGTCTAGCGGAATTTGCACGATTTCACCAGCCTCTTCAAATATTTTAGGCTCTGCAACTACATCAGTACGATGGTTATCTGACTTATGAATACCATTCATTTCCTCTTTGACCTCAACAACTTCTATTGAGTTCAACTCCTGGCCTGATTTTGGCACATCCGTGATGGTTTCAGAACCCCGATCAGAAAAACTAGCAGTTTCAGCAGTCCCAACCATCAACTTGTATGCTGCGGTTGAAGGAAGTAACGATCCACCACGTCGATCAAGCTCAATAAACAACTCATTGACCTGCAAAATCAAAAAATCTGCGGCATCAAAATCATATATAAACAAAAGTGTCAAACTAATCAGCAGGTCTTTTGTCAGCCTCATTCTGATCATCATTATATCACTAGTATATTGCAATTGATGTAGAAGAAAACCATAGTAAATTATTTTGCAAAGTGCCGCCATACACGGTAAAAGATAGCACAAAAATTTTGCAATGCGGCAGAACTTTGGTGGGAGGGCAGCTTTTACCTTTTCAACAAGTTCTGCATTTTCTGCAATTAACCTCTCAACCAACGTGCATGCTGCTTCTACCTGAGAGCTTAACTCATCACGCTCGGAAGAAAGCTACATTAGACATTCAAAATAATTAGATTACGAACTTTCAATTCCTCTGCAAAATGATTCATGCAAGTAAAAAAGGAAAACTTGAAAACAATAACATTGGGTCCAAAACACTTAGATTACCCTTAATATATTATCTTTGATTTCTCTGATTTCACTACGTAAATTCGTTCCCTGGGAAACATAAAAGCATCTGCAGATGTGTCTTCCACATTATGCAAATGCACATTAACCTTTATTTTCAATACATTTTCACTGATTCCATTAAGGGAATTTCTTCTCTGAAAAACACAATTGCATCCAAAGAGCTGTATTCTAAAATATGCATAAAGCTAGAACTGCAATATTTGAAGATCTAATGAGCAAGTTCAGGATGCTAACCTTTGTAAATTCATCCGATGATTGAGTAGAGGCAATGCTATGAAGATCCTTAATTTGCAGCTGCAGACTAGATACGTTTTCCAACAGTTGTTGGTTTTCTTGTAAGACATTGTTTCTGGATTCTTCCAACTCCACCACCTGCCAAGCTTTGTTTTTTAATTCCACATCAGAAAAAATGAAACAGAAGTTACCGGTGCAAAATCTTATCAACTGATAAGTTATGCAAGCAATCAGAACATTGACATGATAGAAGGAATAACGAATTACAAAAGACAACAGTATGGTGGGAGGGACCAGAAACTGAAGATTCAATTGGTTAACTTCTCAACTATACTTGTAGAAAGATTTCATTAGACTCAAGAGTAATTGAAGGCAATGGGTCTTAGAGAGAGATCATCACATCATTAAAACAAGACTATTTCCGCATGAAATGTTTGTAAAGTATAGGCTAGTATCAGCTGCAATTAGTTTGCTCATAAAATCTCTTGGCAAGAGTGATGAATAAACATGAGCAAAAACTTAGTGGAAATATGAAGGAACAATCATTAAAATACCAAAATAAACAAACCACAGACAAAGAAGATTCTAAAAATCAAGCAAATCATGTAGACTGCTATCCATTTCATGCTGTCAGCTATGTGTCTTTTCATACTGTGGAACAATCTAGGTTAAATTAAAGTTGGAAATGCAGGAGATCTTTTTTGCTCTTCTTTTTGCCTCTTTGAATCAGGATATATCTCTTTTGTAGTAAAGAAACATGGAAAGCGCAATTTCTTAGATGATTAAATCATACCTGCACCCTTAATCTCAAAACATCATCATTCAGATTTGCAATAGTCTCTCTAATCAAATCCTGCACAAGAAACACGAGACAAAAAGACAACTAAATCTCCAGAACATAAGGAACAAAAACTCAATTTACAATCAACGAATACAAAATTCTGGCTCGAGAAACGAAAACAAATTCAGGCTCGAGAAACATAAACAAATTCCGGCTCAAGAAACGTAAACAAATTCCGGCTCAAGAAAGCTCTCCCTTCCCTAACAAGCGTGAGAGAGAGAGAGAGAGTATGCTGCACATAACCCTCAATGAGGAATATGTAGAATCCAAGTACCATGTAACTTCATTAAAAAAATAATAATAAATAAATAAATAAATAAAAAGAAGAAGCAAGTAGCACCAAATTTCGAACTTTCTTCTCCATTGAATTCCTAACACATCTTTAAGGCTAAGTTGTTCGAAAACGGAATGTATATACTACCCATCCAAGTTGCAAAAGACCAACTAAACTAACCGGAGGTTAAGCTTAGCAATTACAAACAGTTGATCAAAAGAACTTTAAACTTTCTCGTTAGCAATGCAACTAGTCCTCATCAATTACAGTTAAAACTTAAGGGAGAATCCGTATACCCATAGCGAACCAACAAAATTACCTCATTTAGAGTCCAAGCACGTTTCTCATTCTCAAGATGTTCAAGTTTCTCCTGCAAGCTCACCTATGAAACATCAAATAGATGAGACTCTGGCACAGAGTATTGAGTAATTTACTTATTCACATTAATTTAACAGCACTTTTAGAAGCAGCGAAAGAGGCATGACTGAAATTACGGAAAGCAAAAGTGATTGTCAATAGAAGAAGAAAGAGGAGACAAAAGCGGACGGAACAAAAAAAAATCTTCAAAGAACTTGAACTCTTTCAAATCCTTCTTCCTTCTTTCTTTTCTTTTCGTTTCTTTTTTTTTTCCATCTACTAAATGGAGGAGTAGGAGGAAAAAAATTATGAAACACGAGTTCACCTCTTTTAAAGACCATGTGGTTTTTTCATCTACTAAATGACTAATCCTCGCCTCCAAATGACCCTGCAAGAAACAGAGATTCGAATCAATGCCTCAAATTTGAAAATATGCCAGATAAAATGAAGTGAAAATATTTGAAAAAAAAATAGCTGATAAAATGATGTGGAAATATTAAAAAGCATAACTGCGGTTAAGAGAAACAAAAAAGGTGGCATGTCATTGGAAATATAGAACAAACTAATTAATAAAAAGGCATTTTCCAATTAAGCTAACCTCTTTCCGAATCCAGGACTCTATTTCACTCTGTAATTCAACAATTTTCATCTCAAAAGTGGCCTGCAAATAATACAGTTTATAGAATCACCTTTAACCAGGCATGAACATAAATTGACACGTCAAATACCAGCTTAAAGATGATAGACTACAATTTCTAGATCTAACAACCAAATTTTATCAAAACATCTCTTTCCACTGCATGTATATTCTGTTACCTCTTTTTGCATATAGGAAGTATTTACATCTTGTAATTTTTTTATTGCCTCTTCAAAAATAAACTGCAAAAAAAGATGCACAGTATAAAAGGTAAAACAAGCACGCTGAACATCTACTAACTCTTTCCAATCTAGCTTCTTTACTCAAATTAGAGTATATTACCTCTTTCTGTAAATGTAAATTGTTTTCTTTTCGCAGTTTATCAATTGTATCTTCTAAGGTAGTCTGAAAAAAGAAAACATATTTGCTTTGTCAAAAGCCAGTCCAAGCATGCTACGATTGATTTGGTCCATTCTCAAAATCAAATGTACGTACAACTGCAAACTACCTCTTTCTGTATGTGAAAATCTCGTTCTATCTGTAATTGTTTAATAGTTTCTTCTAAAACAGCCTGTAAAATGATATGGTTAAATCTGTATTAAAGCAAACTATGACAGCTTAATTAAAACAAGCAGGCATAAAATTAGCAAAGTACATCAGCACTTTGAAAAAAAAAAAAAAAGAAAGAAAGAAGCAACAGCACTTACCTCTCTTTGAAGCCACTGTTGTTTCTCAGATTCAGCTAAAACCATCTGCAGTACATCAGCATTTCAAAAAAAATCTCAGATGGTCATGGAGAGAATGCAAACTTGAAAAAGAAAGCGTGAATAACTTTAAGAATCTTTTCAATTCACTATATATGCCTATTTGATACATAGATATCTTCTTTTTTGGGTCATATTTGTTCCACACATAGGCGATGAAATGTCCATTTTCCTGGTCATTAAACAACAACACTGCGGCAACAATTATGTAGTTCGATCATCTCCACCACCAACACATATTTCTTGGGTATATCGAACAGCAAATTATCCTATACTAATCAAAATAATGTATCTATACTATCAAAAGTATCCATTAGATAGACTCCTAAAAGTCAATTTTATTTTGTTGCATGTCTCCGTTACAGAAAATAATACAAGCTGTGGATGGATCTCTCATCCATCGCTTTTGTTGATTAGTTCTTTCTTCGATAAATAAAATTTTCAGTTTCTTATTAAAAGAAAAAAGATCGAATAATGCAAGTTTAAACTGCACACTTTCGCAAATGTCTGAATAGAAATCTTAAATTAAACCAGTTGATAAATACAGATCGCAAATGCGTATATATAGATCACTAAAATAATCAACTGCATTCAAATGCTTTAAAAAGGGACCTTTTTTCATAAATTATCAAGATACAATTTGTATTCAAACATAAGAGTAGTGAGATGGCTCAAAAAGTACTAAAATTTTTTAAGCAGCAAAGAATTCGCAATTACTTACAGAATCTGTGCCATTTGGTCCATTTCTAGTGAGACCAACATCCAAGTCCTTCCCTCCATTTCCAACATCCGCAGACTCAGCAATCTGGCCATGATCATCCTTTCCATTACTCGCGTGATTCTGATCCTCCGAGGTTGCTTCTCCGCCGCCAACCGCAGCAACCTCGTCCGCCGTCTTGTTTTGCTTGTTCTTCTTCTTCTTGTTCCGCTTCTTCTTATTCTTCTCGTCCTCCATTACCACAGCTCAATTTCTCCCAATCACTCAACAAATTCTTCCTATTCCAAATCTATCGGAGGAAAACAGGAACAAAATCAACTACTTCCGATCAAAATACCAACTCCACGAAACCCTAATCTCACGAATGCATAGCCCTAGACGTACCTGCAGAACCGGAATTCGAAGGCGTTGGATCTTCTTCTCGGGTGGTGCAAATTAGGAAATCTCAGAGAAAATAGCAGCCATGAATGAGATCCAGTGAGCTTGTATTTTACTCTTAATTTTTTTTTTCCTAATATTGTTTTTGTCTGTGATTGGGGATTTGTGCTCTCACACGTCCTTTTCCACGTTTTTCGCGTGAACATGTGATCGTTGCGATTGAGGTTCTTGCATTGTATAGCGTCTGCCGAGAAGTAGGAGATTTTCTCTCTTTCCAACTATTAGAATTAGGCAAAAAAAAAAAAAAAAAAGAACAAAAATGATTTTTTTTTTTTTGAGGTAAAACTGAGGATTTCATTTCATTAATCTGGTAAATCTTGGCATACAAAACGACTAACAAAAGACGGCAAATTATTCAACCAAAACACAAGGTTAAAAATCAAAAGAACGTGATTAATTAAAGTGTGGGTTACACGATTCTCCTTCCGAGATGTATAGCAACAAGAACCACACTGAGCTTGTAGACATCTCTAATATCTTCTAGAACACTAGCTTCAATTACTAAGGCTCCGTTCATTTTGCTGATTTGAGTTTAGAATTCGAATTTTGCTACAGTAAAAAGTTCTTAGAAACAGTCACATATAACTTTTTGCTACAGTAAAAAGCACTAACATAAAATCACATCTCAACTCAAATTCTAAACTCGAATCAACAAAATGAACGAGACCTAAATAGACTATGCTTTCTAGTTCCGTTGGTCATTTTGACCTTAAAAGGTGGTTCTCACTGTACTAGCCTATTCTTTTTTTTAGCTTTTTCAATAAAGTGTTTATTCAAAAAAAAAAAAATACAGATGTATGTAGCACAAAACTGTTTCTAATTGATCAATAATTTAAGGGATATTTATTTTATATATTTGTCTCTATTCTGAATTATGATAAATAATTTTTTACAGTATTTTTTTCTCATAAAAAATTTAAATTTTAAAAATTAAAATCATAAATCATGATTTTAAATTTATAAATTAAACATTATCTTAATCTAACATCTAAAAGATAATTTTCTTTTTAAAAAACAATAAATAACAATTTCTATCAAAAAGATTTGCTTTTGCCAAGGGGAAAGAACAGGTGGTTAACGGTTGACCTTCCTTTATATTTAAAAAAAAAAAAAAAAAAGTTAACCTTAGGTGAAATAGTTAAACACTTGAGGGTATTATAGTAATCTAGTCACGAAATTTTGCTGGTTTTACTTCCTTAACTATCATCGACTCTCTCTCTCTCTCTCTCTCTCTGTGGAATTTTCTCAGTTTTGTTGTTCTTTTATACGAGAGCAGATTGCAATTCTAGGGTTTCTAATTCCAATTCGAATTCGTTATTACCAGCCTTTTATGCTAGATTAGTCGTCGCCACATATCGAATTTAAGGTAATTGGGTTCAAATTCCTAAATTAATCTGGATTTTTCTTTTGTTATTTGGCTCACATTTGAGATTAATTTGATTCCAGTTATGTTTCTTTCTATATTAAGCGTTAACTTATGCATTTGTTTTGTTATTGTTTTCATTTTTGCCACTCTATTTGCCCTATCCCAAAAATTACCGTAAAAGGGAAATTGAAGCCTCAAAATATTATTTTTCCTTATTTGTTTGGTATAGATCTTCATTTAATTGATCTGAATATAATTATCTTGCTTAATTGAAGCGCTTTGTTTATTTGTTTTATTAAATTCCTTTGTCATATAAGGATATTAGCTTACGTGATTAAGGCTAAGAGTACATGTTAGCATTTAAAAAAAAAAAAAAGAGGAAAAAAAAAAGAAAGGCTAAAAGTATATGAATTCGAATAATTTTCATTTTTAAAGCGTATAATGAGATTGGAAATGCTGAATTACTTTCATGTTTTCAGAGCAGCCTTTCTTTGGGATTTCTGAAAAGAGCTAGAAGAGTAAAAGTTAAATCTGGGCAATTCCCATAAGGGCACTTCCAACACATTCTATACTTTGTTTATTTAATCAAGACATTACAATCTTATGGCTTTTGATCTTATACATTTTGTTTGTTCTCCGCCGATAAGTATTGTGGTGAATTCTGTGGTAGGGTAGGTACAATAGCAATTTTAACCATAGATCACATTAGAATCATATCAAATTAGAAAAAGTTATGATAATTTAACGAAATTTGATGAAGATCTGAAGGTTAAAAGTTGTGTCCTACAGATAGGGTATTTTTTCATATGCTACAAAAGAATTCTCCAAATATTGTGGAATATCTATTTTCATCGTAGTAAGTTGATGACATTGATTGCTCTTTGAATTTTTAGGAAACTGTTCTGCGCTAGTTCGGCATTAAATATCAAAATGGGACTTTGCATGCCCAAGGTCAGTACTTTCTCATCAATTTCACTTGAAAGTGTTTTAGTTTTTTATTGCTCGTAGACTACGATCTAAACACGACCCATTTATGAAATGGTTGGACGGTCTTTAAATTTCGAAATTGTCAGCCCAAACACACCCATTTATTAGACGGCTTAATAAATGGGTCATGTTTGTGTTGACATTTTTAATACGTTTATGGCAATGTTGGGGCATTTCTGTGTCACTGTTCTAAATGATGAAGTTTGTAGGGAAAGTGACAATCACCGTGAATCTGATTGTTTACCTCTTTCACTCAAAGAATGTAACCTAATAAAAATTGTTTTGAACAATGATAAATTGATAATCTGACTCAAAATGCTTTAACTAATTTGGAGATGATAAATTTTTATAATGAGGAAGTTGCAGGAGAGAAAGACATTGAAGAAATTGTTTGGTCTTGGATTGAAAGATGTCGAATTAGAGAAATTAAAATTAGGATAACTTCTGGTTATTATCCAGTTAGGATTATTTGTTTTTTAAATAAGGAGATAAGGAGATATCCTAAATCTCCATATTAGCTAGTATTTACCTATTACTAGAATTATGGGATTCAGTGGCAAGAGTGTGCTTACCTATGAATACTAGTAGTCTTTTACCAAACGTATAATAAGAAAGAATATTTTTTTCCCTCTCTAAAAACTACATGGTATCATAGCCTAGGGTATCCTTCTACGTTAAATCCTAATGGCTAAAACAACCATGACTGGAGCAAGCAAGTCGTCTTCCTCGGGAGTCACAGTAGAGAGCGTGCAATCCAAGAGCACTGTCATAAACAGTGGTATGGATTTTTTCACATCGAATTCTTTCCTTCAAATTACCATTCACAAATTAAATGGTAAAAATTACCTAGAGTGGGCTCAGTCCGTAAAACTTGCAATTGATGGCAGAGGCAAACTCGGACACCTGACTAGAGAAGTAAGCAAAACGACCCTAACTTGAAAAAATGGCGATCGGAGAATTCACTGGTAATTGCGTGGCTTATCAACTCAATGGAGCCAGCAATTGGAAAGCTGCATCTTTTCTTACCTACTGCCAAAGACGTATGGGAAGCAATGTGTGATATGTACTCGGATCTGGAAAACTCCTCACAAGTCTTCGAGTTAAAATCGAAGCTATGGCGATCAAAACAAGGAGATCGGGATGTTACAGCATACTACAATGAGATGGTGACATTATGGCAAGATTTAGACTTGTGCTATGAAGATGAATGGGACTGCCCTACTGATAGTGTACGACACAAAAAAAGAGAGGAGAATGATCGAGTTTTTGTATTCTTAGCAGGACTTAATCAGGACTTGGACGAGGTAAGAGGAAGGGTGCTGGGCAGTAAGCCTTTACCAGTCTATCTCTAATCCTAGTCCTGAGTCCTTTGATGATCATAATGTCCCTATTGCTACTCGCAAGGGTGTACGGTCTTGTACCAAACATCCCATGTCTAACTATGTATCTTATAAAATCTTTCTCCTTTGTTTTTTTCATTTACTTCACATATATCTTCTGTGGAAATACCAAAGAGTGTACAGGAGGCTTTACAGGTTCCTGAGTGAAGAAAGGCTATTTCTGAAGAGCTGAGGGCTCTTGAGAAAAATCACACGTGGGAGGTGATGGATTTGCCGAGAGGGAAGACAGCAGTAGGGTGGGTGTTTACCATCGAGTATAACTCAGATGGATCCCTCGAAAGGTATAAGGCACGGTTGGTGGCTAAAGGTTTTACTCAAACCTACGGCATCGATTATCTCGAGACCTTCGCTCCAGTAGCAAAGTTAAATACCGTAAGGGTACTCCTTTCAATTGCAGCAAACCTCGATTGGCCACTTCAACAATTAGATGTGAAGAATGCATTTATAAATGGAGAGTTGGAGGAGGAAGTGTATATGGATCCACCACCGGGATTTGACAAACACTTTGGATCCAAGGTATGTAAGCTAAAGAAATCACTTTACGGACTCAAGCAATCTCCAAGAGCTTGGTTTGAACGATTCACTTGATCTATAAAGAATCAAGGCTATGTTCAAGCTCACAGTGATCACACTATGTTCAAGCTCACAGTGATCACACTATGTTCAAGCTCACAGTGATCACACTATGTTCATGAAGCAATCCAATGATGGAAAGATTGCAGTTTTGATAGTGTATGTGGACGATATTATTCTTACTGGGGATGATGTTACTGAAATGAATCGGCTAAAGGAAAGACTGGCTTCAGAGTTCGAGATTAAAGACTTAGGATCTCTAAGATACTTCCTTGGAATGGAAGTGGCTCGTTCAAAAAAGGGCATTGTTGTCTTGCAGAGAAAATACATTCTTGATCTTCTCAAAGAAACCGGAATGAGTGGGTGTAGACCGGCTGATACTCCAATGGATCCTAATTAGAAGCTGGGAGATACTAAGGATGGAAATCCTGTAGATACAACTCGGTACCAGAAGTTGGTAGGAAATTATCCCACATCCGACCGGACATTGCATTCACAGTTAGTATGGTAAGTCAGTTTATGCACTCACCATATGAAGAACACCTTGAGGCAGTATACCGAATTCTGAGATATTTAAAAAGTACTCCACGGAAAGGACTTTTCTTCAAGAAGAATAAGCAGAGGACGATTGAAGCATACACAGATGCAGATTGGGCAAGTTCAGTTACAGACAGAAGATCTACATCAGGGTACTGTACTTATGTATGGGGAAATCTAGTCACTTGGAGAAGCAAGAAACAGAACGTGGTAGCACGAAGTAGCGCAGAGGCTGAGTACCGGGCAATGGCTCAAGGAGTATGTGAGATGTTGTGGTTAAAAAAGATCCTTGAAGAATTAAATCGACCAATGGTGATGCCTATGAAACTATACTGTGACAACAAGGCTGCTATTAGTATTGCCCATAACCCGGTGCAGCATGATAGAACAAAACACGTTGAGATCGACAGGCACTTCATAAAAGAGAAGATAGAAGCAGGAGCTATTTGTATGCCATTTGTTCCAACATCACAACAAATAGCTTATATTCTTACTAAGGGGTTGTTCAGAACCAACTATGAATTTCTTATTACCAAGCTGGGCATGATAGATATCTATGCACCAGCTTGAGGGGGAGTGTCGAATTAGAGAAATTAAAATTAGGATAACTTCCAGTTATTATCCAGTTAGGATTATTTGTTTTTTAAATAAGGAGATAAGGAGATATCCTAAATCTCCATATTAGCTAGTATTTATCTATTACTAGAATTATGGGATTCAGTGGCAAGAGTGTTGTCATGCTTACCTATGAATACTAGTAGTCTTTTACCAAACGTATGATAAGAAAGAATATTTTTTTTTCCTCTCTAAAAACTACAAAAGATAACATGTGGGGATGTGCAATTAAAGGATTACTGTCATAAACAACGAAATTAAAATTATATTTACGTGAAGGAAACTTGGAGACTGAAAGATTTTGATCCTATGCTGGTGGTGGTGGAAATCTTGTGGAATAGCAGAGTTGAAGTACTCTCCATGAAAAAGAAAGTTGGCATCTGAATAATGTTTTCCACTTTGAGTGTCTACTGGAAACTGAATGAATTGATTTGTTTTATTTGGCTGTTTAAAATGTGTTGCGTACGGGTTTTACAGGTGCAAAATTGTTTTATCCTGCAAGCTGCAAGAAATGAAGAGTTTTACTTTTTGTTATCACTTTCAAGTACAAATCTTTTATCTCCTAAATGGTTTTTTTGCCTCATTAGGACCATATACGTTCCCTTAAAATTCAAGATTAGGAACGGATGTCCAGAAGTGCTATAGTACATTTTTTTTTTGTTTTCTTTTTTGGCTCAATCTATAGTAAATTTTGTTTAATACCTTTGTTTATTTCCATGATAATTCCAAGTATGTGGGCGCTAAACGTGTGTTCTTGTATAGTTTGAACAAAGTTCTGTCTGCTGCCTTGGATTGCATTTGCACATACGTGACTACTTTTGTTCAATATTCTTATAGCCTAGAGATGATCAAGATGATTCTGATCATAATGTTGTGTTTGCTGGTGGGAATGTGAACATTATCAATACAAAAGAAAGTTGGGACCAGAAACTAGAAGAAGCAAAAAGGGATGGAAAAATTGTGAGTTTTTTCCTCTCTTTTTTTCCTTTTCTTTTTCTACCTCAAAATCATATTTTTTGGCAAGAGAAATAAGTCATGCTAAACGTCATTGGAACTTCATTTTGAACATGTGATGTGCTCTGGATGAACCAAACTTAGTAAATTATCACAGAACTTTAGAATTGGGTATACCTCTAGAGTGAAGTAATATGATCATATTTATCTGGGATACCTTTTACATTTGAGAAATGAAAATTAGAACGGTCCATTAAAAAGCTAACAATTTTCTCCAGTCATTTTTCACACTTTGATGACCAATGAACAAATAGATTGTAAAGTTAACTTATGATAGCAACGAAAGCATTATACTCTGTACGTGCCAGATCTTTATGCATGGGAAAGCACCATAAGGTTCTTGATAATATTTGCATACTTCAATGTGGACAACCCCATCAATGATTCACAAAAATCTGATCAAAATGTGCCACTACTCAGCGGTGGCAGAGCCAAAATGAAAATTCAATGGGAAGTGGGCACAATATGCAAAACATATGAGAATTTGTTTTTACCGAATAATGGTTTGTTATGAGGTTCACGGTTCATAGTTTTCAAAGATTATGAGGTTCGTTTGGGGCTTTTTTTTTTTTTTTTTTTTTTTTGAGCGTGAGCCCTCTATGTGAGTTGGCTGGGTGGAGGTTGGGAATATCGAGTGAAGAACAAGGTGCAAGAATTTGAAGAAGATAAGGCTATATTAAATGATGGGTCCTTATCAGATGACCAGAAATACTAGGTTAGTGGCAAAGAATTTTATATTTGAATATTGGAGAGGAGTGCAAGGAGCAATTTGGTGACAAATTCCAACCAAGAGAGATGATTGAATTTCCATGGGCTTCAATATTTTATGGAAGTCATTTGTGTGGGCTTAGGAAGAAGATGGCTATCTGAGAAACATGAATACAGTGATGATTTTACAGTCGATAGTTAGAGTAAATTTTTCGCTTACTATGGGAGTTTTATTTTGAAGAAACACGATACAATGATGATTTTACAGTGGTTAGCTATAGGAAATTTTCACTAACTAGGGGAGGTTTATTTGAAGAAAACATTAGGGGTCCAATTGTAGATTTTCTTTCAAATTAACTAATACACATTGAGGTTAGTATATTTATTTATTTAAATTGAAACTCTTTTGTTCAACAGGTTATTGCAAACTTCAGTGCGACCTGGTGTGGTCCTTGCAAAATGATTGCACCATTGTACTGCGAGTTATCCGAGAAATATCCTTCTCTTATGTTTCTTTTGATCGATGTCGACGAAATGACCGTAAGTGACAAATTATTCTTTCTTATATGTATAGGAACAACATATTCTATTTCTTAAAGGAAATTAGACTCGTATGATACAAATCTTTCTTTTTGGGCAAGATGCCTAACCTCTGACTCTCTAGTTTTTGCCAGTCAAAGGTACTTGTATAAATGTAGTGAAAGCTTTCCATTATGCCTCGTATTTAGCTGCACAATAATCTTATCACTGCAATAATTTTTGATGTTGTGGGTTGTTTTTACTTCTGCCAAAGGCAAAAGAATATCACTGGTTCAGTAATGATTTTTTATGGGGCAGGATTTCAGCTCGTCATGGGACATTAAAGCCACTCCTACTTTCTTCTTCCTCCGAGATGGAGAACAAATCGACAAGCTTGTAGGAGCCAACAAGCCCGAGCTCCAGAAGAAGATAACCGCGATTGTAGATTCGGGTCCCTTGCCATGAGAAGTGACTTTTGGTCATGAAAAAGGGCCATCAAGTGTTTCTATGCCATTGTGATTTTCCAAATGCTTTTGTTGTTAATATTTGTTTACAACTCACGCTTGTAAATGGGATTGATGGTATTCAGCTATTTCATTGGTTCAAAATCTTGGGATCCTTTTGAACCCGGGAATCGATCTCGTTGTATTCTTTCAAGAACACTGCTTCTGGAACCTGGATACTTCTTTTTGGTTGCAGCGGTCATTAGTTTTTGGTAAGCTTGAAATGCAGATTATAAAATAGTAAATAATCCTTATTTTTAAGACCACTTCAATAATCCTTGAGCAGTCTCTTATTAGTTTGCGGCAAGCTACCAAATGATGTATTGTTTTCTGACCCCATTATGGATATCTGAAGTCAAGATGTTGTAGAAACTAGAAACTTTGATGCAAAAGTGATTGTCGTTTCAACTATGGATCCATACTTTTGAGTCATACTTATCTTTTCTGCTTGAATTTAATCGGGCAATCTTTCTTTCTTTTTTTTTTTTTTCCTTTTTTTTCCCCTTAAAGGTAAATCTGACAAATGACAATTGGCCTTGGCTTCTTCGTATTTCTGGTCCAAGAATTTGTATTGTCAACCAACCTGGCTTTTATCTGACTCGGTCTTTTGGCAGGCCAACAACTAACTCTACAAGACTACACGTTTAGACATCAAATATTCTAGCATGCATACATACATATATATATATATGTGTGTATGTATGTATGTGCGTGTGTGTGTATACATATATATTGTACAGAACTCCAATAGAATGTGCCTAGAACGATCCTTTTTCTTTTTTTAAGTTGATCCATTTCTTACGTCTGTCGGCTTTTATCGTTTCTCAATGGCATCGTATAACGCCAATCGATTCATTAGCAAAAAAAGTATAACGCCAATCGATGAGTTTCAATATCGTAAGCAATTAGCATTACACCAGCTATTGGCTTGTTACAGTTCCATATTATGCAATACACATGTTGTGCTTAGTCGTTTTAATCATGGTAATCCTTTTGGCGCCAGATGAATTATGTGGTAGTTTTGGCTCATTTGAGGCGGCTTAATTTTTAGCACAACATGATAATAATTCGAATAAGAAGAACAAATTGCAAGATACATTAATAGAATAAACTTATTTATGCGATTTTGATAATAGTAAACTAAACTTAATTAGCCTATCTCAATAAGTTGGCACAAAAATACAACTAAACTGGAGAAAAGAAGGGGAGAGTGGTAAAAATAAGGGGAAAAGATATCGAATTTGTGAGCTTGGTCTTCTTAGTTGTCTGGTAGGCAGTGACGGATTCATGTAATACTTGACTCGTGCCGTCGCCGAGTAAGGTGACAAAAGAGTACGTGCTGTTCCTCAGCCGTGCCAACGGGTGGGCCGGTCGATTTCCACCTCTAACTGCAACTCACAAAGCCACACATTTTCAAGCAGGCAAATAAAAGCAGCCAGCACTTCTAGCCCAAGAAAAGGAATTATTTGAGTACTAACAAATATTGTGTTGGAAATCTCGCAACTTGATCCATGCCATGAAAACATAGATTAGAAAAACAATGAACTCAATTTGAAAACTCTAGTAAATAAGCTTTTCTGTGGGTCTAACAAGATCAAAAGTTTTCCTCTTTGACAAAAATGTTGGAGTGCTAGATGAATGATGGATGCATTTTTCTGCAACTCATATAATTCTTCTATTGAATACTTGATTTTTTTTTTCTAATTTATTTCTTGCTAATTTCTTTCTTTTGCCTTCTCTTTCATTTAGTTGTGGACAAATGCATCATCCATCGAATTCCGAAGGAAAAAGGGAAAAGTAGCCTGTGGTCCATTATTCGCAAAGTAAGAAACAAGAACAAAAACTTCTTTGTTTCCCAGCCCCATTTTGTCATTTGACTCCTTTCGTTGAAATTACATAACAGGTTACGAGAACAGAAACTATTACCTTATTAATGTTCTGGCACCAACTTTCTTTCCTTTTTTCTTGCTCACCCTCAACAAGTCACTACAAATTTCTTTTATGAGATATGATAAAACACCTTATTCCCAACACACACACACACACACACAAAGCCTTATTGTAACACATAATTTCAACAGTCAGATCTTTATAAATTCTGTCATTTTATACGTTTTTCATTCTGATTTAGTTTTGATCAACTTCTAAAGCCTAAAAACACGCACTACTAATAAGATCAACTCAACGTAAATGTTAGTGTCAAATATATATTTAGCACTAGAAAGATAATGGTATTTACCTTGTTGTTTTTATTTGTGTTCTAATACATAATGTTATATAAATGCTAAATTTAATTTTTACCGTAATCCTAAAGCTTTGAAATGTATATAATTAACTTTTTATGTTAAAACAACTTAAAAATACAAATATTGTAATAATTAAATGAAAAGATAAATATAAACTAATAGGAATCAAATTTTAAATTTATGTGATAGTTTGTGATATATTTATCATAAAATATAATACATGATAAATTTATCACAATAAATAATATTGTATTAAAAAATATTTATTTACATTTAAATATTAAATTTTATTATTAACACATTAATTGTAACATTTTTAGGTTTTGGTGATTGGGTAGGACTGACTTGAGGTAGTGATTATTGATTATAGTGATTAAAATATAAACAACCACCACCTCATCTTTTTGACTCTCTCTCTCAAACTGGGGCCTCGCCATGTTGTGTGATGACCTAACTATAGGGCAGTTGGAAGACATGTTCTTCCTTTCATTTGCTTTTTTGCGTCTTTTTCTGCTCAAATTTGGTCCAACTGCTGGAACCTCTCTGGCCTTAGGCGTGTGGACCCCATTAAGTCCACCTTATAGGGTAACTGGGCACTGGCTAACTGGCTAAGGCCCTGTTCACTTCGCTGATTTGAGTTTAGAATTCGAGTTTTTCTACAGTAAAAAGCTCTCATAAACAATCACATCTAGCTTTTTTGCTACAGTAAAAAGCTCTCACATAAAGTCACATCTCAACTCGAATTCTAAACTCGAATCAACGAAGTGAACGGGGCCTTGCAGTCGCGGGTTTTTTTTTTTCCTTTTATTTTTTATGTAGAAAAAGGGGAAAAAATAAATAAATAAATAAGTATGATGTGAAATGTGATAGCAGTCTTCAAATATTTGCCTTGTCCCTAATGTGCTTGCTAGTCAGCCTAGTCTGAAATGCAATAACTTCATAATGTTCAAATGTTAGCCGTTTAAAAATTGCTACCCGGAGTTCACAAAAAAATTATTTGGCTTTTTTTTTTTTTTTTTGGTTTCTTCTCTCATACGCGTCAACATTTCCCCACGTACATCTGACAGCTTACCACTCTAAGAATACCCATAAAAGGAAAGGGAAATTGAAAAAATACAAATAAATATATATCTTTCATTCTGATCAGGAGAATTATACCCATAAAGTCGCTCTTCCTTCATAGACGTGTTAACCGTGACAACAACTCATTGTGGACCCTACCCACATGCTCTAATCCTAGAAACAATTGCACCTATTATTATTTATTAGACCCAATTTTTTTTTCTTTTCCAATTCTAAAGAGTAATTCAAAAGCACTTTTATAAATTGTATCTTAGGATATTTTATTGTGGAACCTAATAAGTACGCTACCGACAAAGTACTTCTTTTTTAACTGTTAAATTTATTTTTTAACGATAAAATATGTACCTGATTATTCTTATTATATATGTATATCTAAAAATAATTCACACTAAAAAATAATACTCCATCAATAAAGCACTTATTAGAGTGCCGCCAGAACTATTCTTATTGTATATGTATATCTAAAACTAATTCACACTAAAAAAACAGTACTCCATCAATAAAGCACTTATTAGAGTTACACCCTAAAGAATCTCATTTGTATCTTAGAATTTATATAGACAATGGGCGGCTACTTAATGAAAACAAGAGTTGCATATATATATATATATATATATATGAAATAAATCCAAATTGACATTTCTCCGCCAAAAGCAATAGTGGTACAATATATTATTTTACACTCTCCATGTAATTTTAGATACAAATTACAACTAAATTAATCAAAAACATATTAGGAACCCAGAAAGAAGGGAAAAAGAAGAGAAAACCCGGTAAGTAACTGAATAAAATGAAAGACCAAATTTGATCATTTTGATTGACTACGAACTGGAAAACAAATTGCAGTAACCAGAAGGCAACAAACTACCTCTTTTGATCTCAGCGCCCTTTGGGGTTCATGATCTGTGAAAACACAGCACTTGGTGTCAGCCCGTCGGAGTCTTCACTTGCCAAGCTCCTCCCACCAATGCTCATGCTCATGCCACTGCTTCTTGAGTCTGTCACATTACCATCAAAGCCCGGTGAGGCATTCGGGTCCTTCCCTTTACAAGGCATGAACGGCTCCTCCTCGATGTTGCCAAAGCCTTCACCGCTTTCCTCGGCGCTCTCTTGCAGCTGCAAAGCAAACTCGAGGTTCCACAGAACGTCTCCCATGGAAGGCCTTTCGATGCCCTGGTCAGATACACATTTCATGGCTGTCTCAGCAAACTTTTTGAAACATTCCGGTGCGATTTTTCCCTTCAGGTAAGGGTCAAGTATCTGGTCAAGAATGCCCTTCTTGTGGCAGTGTGCAGCCCACTCAGCTAAGCTCACTTGTTCCTTTGGAAGTGTGGGGTTCAGGGCTGGACGTGCACACAAGATTTCGAACAGGACAACCCCGAATGAGTAAACATCAGATTTTTCCGTTAGTTGTTGCCGCCTGAAGTACTCAGGATCCAAGTAACCAAAACTGCCTTTGACAACAGTACTGACATGAGTATGATCCAACGTAGGGCCAGTTTTTGACAACCCGAAATCAGAGACCTTTGCCACCCACTTCTCGTCCAAAAGAATGTTGGTTGTCTTGACATCTCGGTGTATGATGGTGTGCTTAGCGCCAGTGTGGAGATAGTGCAAACCACGAGCAGCCCCAATGCATATCTCAAGCCTTTGTTTCCAGGGTAGTGGGGGCTTTTGGGTCTTGTACAGATGCTCACGAAGTGTACCATAGGCCATGTAATCATAAACAAGGATCATCTCGCAGTTTTCTTCACAATAACCAATCAGCGAAACAAGGTGGCGGTGACGAAGCTTTGAGAGCATTTCAATCTCGGTTTGGAACTCATGGACACCTTGCTCAGAGAGAGGGTTCCCCCGCTTGATTGCAACCTTGGTCGTTCCACCATCAATTTCACCCTTGTAAACTTTGCCAAAACCTCCCACACCGAGGAGTAGAGCCTCATCAAAGTTGTTGGTGGCAGCCTTGATCTCAGAGAACGAGAAATGGCGGCAAAGGTTCGAAGGAAGAGAGGAGGCATAACTTCCCGTCGTGTTTGTCTTGGCAGAACCTGCAGAGTGTGAGTTCCCATACAGAGAAAGAGGAAGCCACCCAGATGGCCCTTCACTTGCATTCGAGTCCTTCCCATGCCTGCGGCGGCGCGATACAAACAAAGCAAAGAAACAAAGCACAAGGGCTAAAACAACTCCACCACTTACGCCCCCAGCAATAACAGCCGTTTGACTCTTTGATTTACCATGAGATGGTCTAACCCGAGACGGGTCAATCTCATCTTGTTTAGGAGGAGCAATAGGATTGAGCCCTCCAAGATTTCCAGTTGTATCGTTGATCTTGAACACCTCCACTCCATTTAGGATTGCATCATAGTACTGAGACTTTCCATTAGTGTAAGGATGAAGTGCAAGCCACAAATCCTGCTGAGGGCTTCCCTTTGGAGCCAAAACTACTACATAATCCTTGTACAACCCAACCCCATTATGCTCACCTGCCCAGGCGGCAACGTCAGCTTCATTCTGGGCAGTTTGGTTATTAAGAAAGATCGTAAACACCCTCTGATTGGAATGGGTTATGTTCTCAGCAACCTCGCAGAAATGGAGCCTAACCAGGTAAGAGAACCCCGAGTCAATTGACAAAATCCAAGTCAGATTGTAGTTAAGGTTGATGTGCCAATCGGGCCCCATCGATCTCGCAGTGGAATAGACATCAACAGGTGCAACATAACTAGGGACACCATCAAGATACGTGATTGTCATGTTTGGATCAGCAGTTTCAGGAACCCCAAAAGCAGCCCCATACAAATAAACAGTATCATCATACCAGGACCTAAACAGACCCGTATCCTTCGACGGAGATATATCATTCCCACCAACATTTAGCCTATACACATTCTCAAGAGCAGTGCCATTATCAATGATAAAAGGAACAGATTGACTAACAATCATAGTTGTTCCATCAGCAGAATACATATCAGGCATAGACACAAGCTCAATCCCATTCACAAAAGCATAAGCATTCGGAATACTCGAAGACGGCTTAAAAGTAAGGGCCAAGGTATCACCTTCCACATTGACAGAGTACTCCTTGACGATTGAGACATAGTTCAGAGCCTCAGTTGTCTGTGCGACACTGAAATTCTTCAGGAGAGTGTACGACTGAGCCGTGACATCAAAGACGGCGTTCGACGCGTTGAGGCCGGAGTACGAAGAGGGGTAAAAGTACAATCGGATGAATTTGCGGCCGGGGGCAACGGAGATGCTGTAGGTGAAATCAGACTGGAAAACTCTTGCGGTCATGAAAGGGATTGTTGAGACTGAAGGGTCTTGAGAAGAGGCTTCCGAGGTGGTGGACTTCGCGGCTTTCGATAAGTACAGAGACCCCTTGTCGGAGGTCCATTTCTTCCCGTCGGCTTCCTCCGTGGGCCCACCGCAGTTGAGGAAGATTTGCTCAGCAGGCACGTAATTCGCAGCCGAAATCAGATGAACTGATGTGAAGCTCAAGCACACAAGAAGAAACAGAGACAAAGCTCTGGAACTCTTCGAGTTCTTCATGGACTCCAAAAGGAAAAACGGAACTTTCTAAAGATTCAGAACAATGAGCACAGAGATCTGGACTCGGAAAAACCAGATCGGAACTGAGAAATAGTCGGCTCGAGACCTCAATTTCCAATTTCTCGGAGAACCAAAACAATCACGACCCGCCCATGAATGGTCTAGGATCTCTGCAACTTCCCAAGAAACTAGAAACCCAAAAAACGAAAAAAATCAACAAAAAATACACGAATTTCCAGAAGAAGAACTGGAGATCTACGTGACTATTAGTACGAACAGAAAATATCGGAACTTGAGCACATTTCTTACAAGTCAAAACGGGTCCTCAAAAATGGAAAATAATTGAAGGGAAAAAAATTCAAAAAAAAATCGTGGAAGAGATTTTCGGACTCACCTATCTCTCTCTTCGGACAATTACACGGAACAAGAAGGAATTCTGGGAGTCGGAATCGGAGAGAATGAAGTGAGAGAAAATACAATTTTAGAGAGAGACGAAATTAATCGAGAGATAAACCTTTTTTTTTTTTTTTTTTTTAAAGAAATGAGCAGACCAGAAACCGAGATTAATGGCAACGACTGACTTTATTATACTGCAACTCCGAAACTCGACTCCTTTTCTATCTATGTGGTAGTCTTCTCGGTGTTTAGCGTTACGTTTCGGGAATGACGGTTATACCCTTGACGGAGGTCAAATGACAGATGTGTCCTCGGGTGTATATTCTTCGAAGGAATATGATTGGATGACAGCTCAGTGGAGGAAGCAAGTAAACGACAATAATAATTTTATTATCAACAGAAACGGAAACGCGTTATATAAAAAAGGGAGATTCATTAAACCAGACGCGTTTCTCTAAGCTGGATTTTAGTCCGTTTTGTTTCTGTTAAGTGTTACCCTCACCTCTTAGCTTTTTCTTTCTTTTTGGAAAATATTTTATGTTTTCTATTGAAAGTCATATGTACATTTTTTTAGAGAATTTTGTTTTTATTTTAAACAATTTTTAGTAAATTTTTTTTATCAATTTTTATTAAATTTTTAATTTTTAATTTAAAAAAGAGCTCCAGTGATAAAACGAAGAGTAGAATCACTGGAGATAACAAAAATACTAGGCCACACATGATTAAGCACAAAATAAAAAGAAAGACAAATTACATTTATTCCCCCTCAACTATAAACAATGTAACAAAATGTCTCATAAATTTTAAAAGTAACACATTTTCTCCTAAATAATTCACCGTTAGTACGTGTCCTCTTTTTCCACCCCTTCGGTTAAATTTTGAACATTAAGTGACACGTGAAAGTCACTGAGGCATTTAATTTTTATTCTATTATGAAATGACGATTTTACCCATATAGATTAGCCAATCTCACCCGATCAGAAGCCTCCCCACCCTCACTCTCTTTCCTCTCCCTTTCCCATGCATGACCACTAAGCTCCGGCAAGTACCTCGTGCACCACCCCCATCATTTCACTCAGAATCCGTAGATGAGTCAATCCCGACTAGTAGCCGCCACCATCCTTGCTGATTTACAGGAATTTGAAGTCACCACCACCGCTCGCCGTGGAGGAGTTTGGTTCCGTCGATTTTGGCCGCCATTTCTCATGTCGTTGGTGTAAAAACACTCAGAAATAAGTGGGTAACAAAAACCCCAATTCAATTTCTCCAATCCGTGGCTCAAAAATTGAGAACCAAGTCGCTGGAAACTGAGAACCAAGTTGAGAAATTTGAATGGATTTTGCCCTATTTCTAATTCAACACAGTAAATTACTTTTTTTCCCTTGAAATGAGAGTCACATGCCATCCATGTGACACTTAACGTTCACAATTTAACCGAGGGGGCGGAAAAGAGGGACACGTGCTAACGGCAAATTGTTAAGGGGAAAATTTTGTTACTTTTAAAGTTTATGGGGCATTTTTGTTACACAGCTTATAGTTCGGGGAGAATAAATGTAATTTTTCCTAAACAGAAACCAACAACTAACAAAATCTAACAATTAAGCACAAAACAGCCTTACACAGTGAGGCTATAGGAAACCGAGTGAGCCCAACATCATAATCTAAAAGCCATAATATTTTTTAAAGAGTCTTTACAGTGGAGCATGCTATTTTACTCTATTGGTAGAAACTGTATTTTTACCGTTAAATTAATTTTTTAATAGTCAGATATGTAGTAGAAATAGTTATGTATGACGCGCTGTAAATTTTTAATACAAACTTGCACAGATTTTACTGTTAAAAAACTAATCCAACGGTTAAAACCTATTGTTCTCACCGGTGAAATAAAATAGTATACTTCACCGTAAAGATTACTCATTTCCTTTCTTTTGAATTAAAAAACAATTCGTAGGACGAGAAAGTACAAGAATTCGAAGTCGCCACCACTACTCACCGTGGAAGAGTTTGGTTCCGTCAATTTTAGCCATCATTTCTCATGCCGTTGGTGTCAAAACACTTAGAAATAAGTGGGTAACAAAAGCCCCAACTCAATTTCTCCAATCCGTGGCTCAAAAATTGAGAACCAAGTCGCTGGAAACCGAGAATCAAGTCGCCGAAAACCGAGAACCAAGTTGGGAAATTTGAATGGATTTTACCCTATTTCTAACTCAACACAGTAAATTACTTTTTTGCCCTTGAAATGAGAGTCACATGTCATCCATGTGACACTTAATGTTCACAATTTAAGCGAGAGGGCGGAAAAGGGGGACGCGTGCTAACGGCGAATTGTTCAGGAGAAAAATTTGTTACTTTTAAAGTTTAGAGGTCATTTTTGTTACACTGCTTAGGAGAATAAATGTAATTTTTCCTAAAAAGAAACCAACAACTAACAAAATCTAACAATTAAGCACAAAACAGCCTTACACAGTCAGGCTCTAGGAAACCGAACAAGGCCAACATTGTAATCTAAAAGCCATAATATTTTCTAAAGAGTCTTTACAGTAGAGCATGTTATTTTACTCTATTGGTAGAAACTATATTTTTACCGTTAAATTAATTTTTTAATAGTTAGATATGTATTATAAGTAGTTATGTATGACGCGCTGTAAATTTTTAATACAAACTTGCACAGATTTTATTGTTAAAAAAACTAATCCAACAGTTAATGGATAAATCAAAACGTGCACATCTGGCCTCGTTCATTTTACCAATTCGAGTTTTCAATTTTAATTTTGTTACAGTTAAAAACTCTCACAAAAAGTCACATCTAACTTTTTTGTTACAGTGAAAAGCTCTCATATAAAATCACATCTCAACTCAAATCCGCAAACTGAACGAGATCTAATGTTAAGGTATGAAGTTTGAATCCCCTCATCGTTTAAAAAAATATATTACGCATTTATTGAATCATTAATTACCTGTGTTATTCAAGCGTAAAGAGGGAAAGTGATGTAACTGCATAGGATTTGTAAGGCTATCCCTAGGAAAACTCTTGCGACCAGAATTATTGGTAAGTTTTCGTGGAAGCATGAAGTCAGTCCAAATTCGTACTGCATTTTTGTTTTGTTTTTTTTTTGTTGCATATTAGAGCAGTTTATTAGAGAAGGCTCTTATAGTTGAGAGTTTTAAGGCAAAAATGGAACGATATCTAGATTAAGATTAGTTACTTACCCATGTCCACAAGAAATTTGCCATTTCAAATGCGTTCTGTGCAGCAGTAATATTGCGAAATTATATATGGATCACATAATAAAATTATATATGAATAAATATTGTAAATTTAACAATTTGATATATATGGATCTGAAAGCTCAATTAATTACACAATATTGAGGTTTTTATTTTACCCTGCTAAAAATCATCCTAGTTAAAAAGTTAAGTTTGTTTAAGTGATTAGTTGTTATTCACCTGGAATAAAGTAAAATATATCAAGAGAAGGATTCAATCTGAGCGATTAAACCAGAAATACTTGTTGCTTGGCTCTACTATTGGAGCTCCTTTTACAACTGTACTTCGGTCTTGGATTTCTTGAGCCATCTCCATTATGATAAGTTCCACCGTCGTACCTACTAATAGAAGAATCTGCACAAGCACAACCCAATGAGCTAGTGCTAGCTCTCTAATTAAAACAACTAGCTAGGAAAAAATCATTCCAAAGCATGCTGGTAAAGTTCTATAGGACATCTTAATTTTCTTTTATTATTATTATTTTTTTGTCGTTTAGTTTGGTTTTTTTACCGTGAGCGGCACAATTGTCAACTAGGAGAGCGCGTACTATTCTGCGACAATAGAATCATGATAAAAGATTTATTCAAGACATTAAAAAGATTTAATTAGTATCAGATGTTAATTTATGTGACTTACTAAAATTAATACAAGGGATATTAATTCTAGTATTTTTCAAAATGCATAATAGATTTACTTACACATGAGAGATCTTTGTTATTATTTCATTAATATAAATGAGAGAGGAAGGGAGAGAGAGAGAGAAGGAATTACGGTAGACATTTAGAAGCAAGAAGATTACGGCGAAGGTCCATAGAGGTATGCTGCAAAAATCAAGTAATGCTAGTACTGTCAGTGTTAAAGGGGGAGCCTTCCAAGTTCCAAGGAAGTGCATAACTTTTTTCGTAATTACCACTATCAAGCTACTCTTAAGTTGTTAATCTTCTAAGATTAGAGCATAACAAATTCATGATCAACAAGTTGCTAATCGTCATCAACAAATTCATGATGGTTTAACATTATATATATTATTAGGCCTCTACATGTGTTGTGTAATGAGACATGATCAAAGAGATTGAAAGAGAGACCTAATACCCACGACTGTTTTGAAGTCATCTTCCATTGATCTTTTTATGTACTTTCGGAAGTCAAATTTACTATTTGGAGCTAAATGTGCCTGCATTTGTCATATATACCAGCTAGCTTGAGTTAAACTTTAAACTTAGGCATAACAAATTTGACAGAAAAATTAATTATATTCCTCTTATATATATAAAAAATATATTTGATTTGAATATTGAAGTAAATTTTAATTTCTGTTATTTTTTTATAAAAAAAAAATTTGAGGTCTTACATTAATAAATCCATGACTCAGGTCAGGTAGTCCACTTTTGTTACTGAACCAAAGAATTGTCTGAAGAATGTTACCTGTAATTACACAGTTATCTATCTAATTAACTGCCAAAATAATTACAATTCTCATACTCGTTTAACCAAATAACAACAACGACAATAACGACGATGACTTTCTAATAATAATAATTTTATTCTTACAATCCATCTAATTCCGGATATTCTAAAAATGTGAGAGTGACGTTTCACAAAAGAAGTTTGACGAATAAATCTGAATCTCGTAGGATCTGAAGAACAAAATGAAGGCTCAAAGATCAATTCCTAACTACTTTGACACAAGAATTTAGCTTGGATGGTCAAGGTCATTAATATGTGATTATAACTGCAATTACCAATAAAATAGAATAATAAAAGATACCATTTGTAAATTGATATTCGAAGGAAGAGGTTTCCAACTCCCATGCCTTCCATTTCTTCATCTGCTCAAAATCAACACGTTACAGGCACATTATCAGCTTTATATATGTCTGATAATACAGAGTCTAAATCTGTTTGCTACAGTGGGCCATACAAAAATTTCACTCACC